CGAGTACGGCCGCAATGATTACCGCAATGATCGCTTGGACCGTCCTCCTCTGCCGGCTGAGCGCGAATCATTCAGTCGGGAGCGGAACATGGAGCCCCGCGGCGAGTACCGCGAGGGAGGAGGTCGCGGTGAGTATCGCGAGTACAGGGAGCCTCATCGCGAGCCACAGTTTCACCGAGACCAGTATGCACGGGGTGATGGTTTCGGTCACCAGCAACAGCAGCAGCAGCAACAGCCACCGCGAGAGTATCTCCGCGAGAGAAACGACTATCCGAGGCCACAGGAGCACCGCGGCGAGTTTCGTGGCGACAACCGCGAGCGAGTCTCGCACGAGCGTAATCAGCAACAGTCGTGGCGCAACTGAGCCCCAGCTGCTGCGCTTGCGGAACTTGTGCACTGGAGCGACAGAAGCCCCTGTCCTCAACTGCAATCAACCCACTCAGACACACATAAACACACACACCAAACCACAATTTGCCCTGGACTTTTTTTTCTGTAATTTTTTACACTAGGAATATTTGTTTTATATAATGATTTTTAAATTATTTGTCTCTCTATTTTACTAACATTTTCTATTGACGCAGACCACACGTACAAAACACACAGCCACATTCACACACACACAACCACCCAAATATCGACACAGTCAGCCCGATAACACACACCCCACCAGAACACTTTGAGCGAGTGAGAGAGCAATCAGCATTGACACACACTGCGGCTGCCTGAAAAGTAGGGCGCAACTATTTGCTGCGGTGGTGTCAAAGTATAAAGTATGAAGGGTCGCGAACCAGTGATACCTAGTAAAGTATTTATTTCCCCCAATGATATCGTCTCGGCCCGTGCCCTGCTCACTCCTCACCCCTTTTCTCTACACTTTTCTCTTCCTACATTTTGGATACTCTTTCTGCAAATCTCCAAACTTGTTCTAAATCCGACTAGATATCCACTGCAACGTTTAATGTCATTTGTCCTGTCTTTACTCTCCTCTCTCATTCTCTTTCCTCTCATTGACAATAATTTTGAGACCGTCTATTAGGAATACCCACTGTACTGTACCCCTACCTAAATGTTGGAATGACTACGCTGCTTGTACACACTATGCTAGAGCCCACACCCCTTCCTCCCTTCCTCCCCTCCCCCAATCTCGGCTCGATGTGATGTTTTTGTGGACACGAGGGCACTGGCCATTTGCCACGGCGGTGCCCAGTGCCAGTCAAGTGCGGACAGTGCCCACACAGCCTACCTACTCTCTATACCTTTGCGACTCGACTTTGATTGCCAACAAATGACTTTCTTTCACTCTCCTTCCCCCTTTCATGTTGGTGCACACCACCCTATACACCAGTCTGTACCAGCAATGGATTCTACCGAAATTAAAGTTTCATTCATAAATTCTTTTATTTGTTTAGTTGTTCAAATGGCAGATCAAAGTAGCCGCAATGTAGGCGACCACCAGGACGACCAGAGGTTGGAGCTGGGAGATTAGCCACCACCGATTGCTGTTGGCGTTTCGCTGGCAGACCCTTTCAAAGGCTTCGGCAATTTTGCGTCGTTCACTGCGACTGTTGACCGGTTTGGGCGAGGGAAAGGCTCGTCGAGAGTAGCGGCCACAGATGCTGCAGGTGATAACAAAGTTGAAGAAGGCCCGACGACGCCAGTTTAGAAAACACGGGCCACAGTAGGAGTGCAGGCAGTTTTCGAGATGGGCGAGGTACTCATTCCGACTGTTGCAGTTGCTGCACACTGCTGAGGCAATGCTGGACTGGCTTTCAGAAGTTGATTTAGTTGAAGCGTTCATAATGATAAATGATGAAACAACTTTAGGGTTATTTTATTAACTGTTTTAGAACTTTTTTAATCGAAATTAAGCTGACAGACTTTACGGTGTATCTAGTTGAAGAATCTTAATAAAGCCCTCAGAACTAAAGGCCTCGACCATGATGGCCGCCGCTTTGTTGCCACCGCCGAGGTAGTGTGAACAGGAAAAGATGGTGATAACTTTGCCATTGTGATTAAACTTGTAGCCAGCATTGATCATCTCGTGGGCGCGAATGATGTAGCTGAAACCGTTCACGGTGAGAAAGTTGTTGGTGGCCGCCTCTGCAAAAAAGTACCCAGTACCTCGTCGAGTGTTGTTGTAGAATCCCGCTTCTTCATTGCCGCCTTTTCGAGCAAAGTTGCCAATGTTTTTCAGTTCTCCTGCTTCAATGGGGTCCGCCCAGAGAATCTCCCAAACAGCCGGTGCATCCTTTTGTGGATTGGCAATGACATTGGGAAAGCGACACAGCAGGTCCACCTTGCTCATTGAGCTGGGGATGCCGCCATGGGCGCAGAAGATTTGCTCGTCAACGATTGCCGCAAAGGGGAGAGAGTCAAAGACGGCATTGATTGTGTCCAGGACAAAGTGACCCCTGTTGCCGTACTTTTCATTGCAGTCCTTTTCAAAGGTGAACAACTTTTGAATTTGACGAGTTTCATGGTTTCCCCTTAGTAGAAAGAATTTGGTAGGAGCGAGCACCTTCATTGCAAACAGGTAGCAGACTACCTCTAGGCTAAAGTCGCCCCTCTAATGAAAAAAAGGTTAGTTTTTAGCTACCTTTTACCCATAATCAACCCTTACGTCAACATAGTCACCAAGAAAGAGAACATTGTGCGCNACTTTTCATTGCAGTCCTTTTCAAAGGTGAACAACTTTTGAATTTGACGAGTTTCATGGTTTCCCCTTAGTAGAAAGAATTTGGTAGGAGCGAGCACCTTCATTGCAAACAGGTAGCAGACTACCTCTAGGCTAAAGTCACCCCTCTGGTGGAAAAAAGGTTAGTTTTTAGCTACCTTTTACCCCTAATCAACCCTTACGTCAACATAGTCACCAAGAAAGAGAACATTGTGCGCCTGGCAGGTGGGCGCCATCGGCCACAGTTGCCCTTCAAAGGTGAGCAGGTCGCTAATGTTGCCGTGAATGTCGCCCAGAATGATGCACGGAGAGCTAATGTTGGGAATTCTTGACTCTACAGAGACGACCTCGGTTACCTCGGTGCAGAGCTTTGAGAGGACGTTCAAGCTGAGTCCCTCGGTCACCTGAGTCCTTACCTCCTTTGCCTTTTCCTCCGTCATTTGCTTCAGCTCTGCCAGTCGACGAATGAGGGTGAGGACATAGTTGGCGTTGGAGGATGACTTGAAGAGAAACTCCACCGAGTGAATGCGCTGCACATTGATGGGCAGCCGACGTTCGCCGCTAATGTTTAGCGACACCAGACTGTCGCCCTGGTTCAGTATCACCTGCGGGTCCTCGATAGAGCCGGACTTGGTCAACTTGACCGAGTGCATTGCCAGCTGGTAGGTCTTTGGGCGGCACTTGACACACGTTGGCTGCTGTTGTTTGCTGCCAAAGGGGCGGCCAGTTCGACTGATGAGCTCGTAGAGGCAGGAAGAGTAGACCATGTACATGATGGACTGCTTGGCCCGACAGAGACGAGTAGTGCCGGCCAGCTTTTTAGACTCTATCTCAGTCTGAAAGTGAGTAAAGCTGATTGTGGACTTGTTGGCCCACTGCTCCGGAGGATTGGCCTGCTGCAGATCAGTGCACAGCTGGCGAATCTCCTTGCCGTCAATAGTGCCGTCCGAGTTGGTGTCGTAGTAGCGAAAGATGAAGGAGTGTCGAGGGGCGGTGTTTGGCGAAGACGGGTCCAGGGCGATGATGCCAATGAGGAACTCGTTGAAGGTGAGGAATCCCTTTGGTTCCTTGTACTTCATGGCGCGAAAGATTGCCCGCTGTGCGGCGTCGTCGAAGCAGGCCGCCAGGCCCACCTTGGCAAAGTAGTCGGCAAAGGAGGCAAAGCTCATGTTGATGGCAGGGAAGCAGTGCTGCACAAAGTCGCTGTACAGTTTGACCGCATCCGCCTCGGAGAACTTTGAGTCGGTCACAAAGTTGACAATCTCCGGCGGTGCCTCTGTCGAGTTGATGTACTTGAAGACCTGGTCAATTGTCTGCTCGGCCACTCGCAGCAGCTGTAGATTTTTCTCTTCCAGCAGCTCGGCGTACTCGGCCACCTCTGAGCCCCAGAAGCGCTTGGCCGCCTCGCTGGGCATCTTTCCTCGGACGGTGCTGATGGGAATCCACTTTATCTTAGCCGTATTTTTGCAGCAGTGATTATCGCTGCTGCACCAGCGAACCATGTAAATGAGGCGCTCGATGAACTCTCCGGTTGGTATTTGAATGCGATGAACAGAGTGGAGGACAATCTTTTCAAAAAGCAGTGCGCTCTTGCCGCTCAGCAGTTTTTGAAGGTCACAGGGCAGGCTAGGGGAGTAGGGTTTTAGTTTTGTACTATTAGGACAAACCATAGTACCCGAGCTGCTTGAGAAAAAACTCTGTCATGTGGGCGGCCACCTTGTCGTACTTGTAGCACTGGTTGACGGCCACGTAGGGCAGCCAGAGACCGGCGGACTTGCAGTCGGGATGCAGTGTGCTAATGGGCATTGCATCGTGCTGGCACTTGATGGCAAAGGCGCACACCGTGTGCAGGTAGTGCTCGTACAGGTGGGGACAGTCGGTGCTGACGCTGGCAAAGGGGCTCACCAGGCACTCCTCGCTGTCAAAGACGTCCAAGTCAAAGGAGTCATCCTCCATTTTTACTTGTGCCATTGTCCACTGTGAGCTAAACTTGGGTAGTGAAACGTTTAGTAACAACGAAAACGATGCAAGCTTTTAGAACTTGGAGCACTTTTTTAAAAGTTGGTGCAGTTTTTTTTCCCACCCAAAGATGTCTCTACGATCGTTGTTGGCGTGTTTCTGTTGCCGTACAGCCGGCACCCTAAATCGCATTCCCACTCGGCCAACTCACAAAAAGCACACNAGCAGTTGTTTTTCCCACCCAAAGATGTCTCTACGATCGTTGTTGGCGTGTTTCTGTTGCCGCACAGCCGGCACCCTAAATCGCATTCCCACTCGGCCAACTCACAAAAGGCACACGTGTTCTGGTGCACCAACAGTCAACCAAGTATTGCACCAAACTGCAATTCTGTGTCACTATTTCATCATTTGTTGTTGTGCCTGGTCAGTAGCACACCGAGTCTCATCAGCGCAGACTAAAGATGGCTTCCAAGAGGACTCAACCTGCCTGGAGCGTGCCCGGCGAGGGCGTCAACAACAGCAGCAACAACAACTTGCAGATCTTCAACTCGCTGACACGAAGCAAAAATGACTTTTCGCCGATTGCCGGAAAAGCTGTCACCTGGTACAACTGTGGTCCAACCGTTTACGACTCTTCACACATGGGCCATGCTCGCAGCTACATAACCTTTGACATTCTTCGCCGAGTTTTGCGTGATTACTTTAACTATGACGTCTTTTTTGTGCAAAACGTCACCGACATTGATGATAAGATTATCCACCGAGCTCGACAGAATTACCTCTATGAAAATTACGTCTCCCAGCTAAAGGAGAGACAAAGTGTGGTGGATGACGCCAAGACGGCTCTTGCCCTAATTGAGCATAAACTGGCTGAAGAAACAGACCCTGACAAGAAAAAAATGTACGCAAAGATGGTGGAAAGTGCTGATGCCGCCATCGGTGATGCCAACATGAGCACTGCTGATCTGGTTGCCAAGGTAAAGGACATTTTATCGGTTTGGCTGGACAAGGTCAAAGGCAAAGAGGTCTCTGACAACGACATTTTCATTACGTTGCCTCGCTACTTTGAAAATGACTACAATGAGGACATGCTGGCTCTGAATATTTTACCTCCCGACTGTGTTACTCGAGTGTCCGAGTTTGTGCCCGAAATTGTCGAGTATGTAAAGAGCATCATGGACAATCAGTATGCCTACGAGTCCAATGGATCAGTGTACTTTGACACGGAAAAGTTTGCCCAGACTGAAAAGCACTTTTACGCCAAACTGGTTCCCGAAGCGTATGGCGACAACAAGGCACTCGCCGAAGGAGAAGGCGATCTGGGCGCTTCAGGCGAAGAGAAGCGCAGTCCCAATGACTTTGCCCTGTGGAAGAGCTCCAAACCGGGCGAACCCTTTTGGCCCTCACCCTGGGGAAATGGTCGTCCAGGGTGGCATATCGAGTGCTCAGTGATGGCCAGTGCACTCTTTGGCGGCCAGATGGACATTCACTCGGGTGGTATTGATTTGCGATTTCCGCATCACGACAATGAGATGGCCCAGGCGGAGGCCTTTTTCAATACCGGCAAGCCGTGGGTCAACTACTTTTTGCACTCTGGCCACCTCACCATTTCCGGCTGCAAAATGTCCAAATCACTCAAGAACTTTATTACCATCAAGGAGGCGCTTGCAAAGAACACTGCCCGTCAGCTGAGGATTGCCTTTTTGCTTCATTCGTGGAAGGATACACTTGATTACAGCGACAATACCATGAGCGAAGCGGTTCAATTTGAAAAGACGCTCAACGTAAGTGCCCCCAAAGAGTGTGCACCCTTTAATGGCGTTGATTAATGTGCCTTCTTCTGCAGGAATTTTTCCTTACTGTCAAAGACATCTTGCGGACGCACAGGCAGTTACCGGTTGAGAAAAAGATTGTCAAGTGGGAAGATCGCGAAAAGAGTCTCAATCAAAAGTAAGTTTTTTGCCTGTACCTCAGTTTTTCTTTCCGCCTCTGCATGTTTGTTGTTTGTCCGTATCGGCAATACTTTAATTGATATAATTGCCCTCTTTACATGCTGATTATTTTAGATTCAAGGAACATGTTCAGCTAGTTGATCAGACTCTGCGGGACAACATCGACACGAAGAGCGCCTGCGAGGAGATTCGCCGACTCGTATCTGCCTCCAATACCTACATTAACGAGCAAAAGGACCTGTCCAACCCCAACTTGCTGCACAGTATTGCCGCCTACATTACCCGTCTGCTGGACACCTTTGGTTGTGTTAGCATTGGCGATCCAATTGGCTTCCCAGCTGATGCCAGCTCATCCTCTGGCGGCGATCGGGAGCAGCAGGTGATGCCCTTTATCGACGTCATCTCGCAGTTGCGACAGGAAATTAGGAAAAAGGCAACGGAACTGAAAAATGGCGACCTCTTTAAGCTGTGCGACTCAATTCGCGACGACGTTCTGCCCAACCTGGGCGTTCGCATGGAGGACTACAATGCCGAGGACGGACAACTGCTGGCGCGAGTTAAGCTGGTGGATAAGGAGATTTTGCTTCGAGAACGCGAGGAGAAGATACAGCTGGAGAAGGTGAAGCAACAGGAAAAGGAGGCGAAAAAGAAGGCCGCTGCGGCAAAGGTAGCAGAACCACCAGTGGCGCCCAATCAATTCTTTCGCAACGAGGTAAGCAAGTACTCGCAATGGGACGAAAACGGAATGCCCACTCACGACCAGGAGGGCAAAGAGCTGACCAAGTCAGCGCTGAAGAAGGTGGCCAAATTGTATGAGGCTCAGGAGAAGAAGTACAATGCCTACTTGAAGCAGCAGTCCACAATGCCGGCCGGTGACGCCAAGTGATGATCCCCTCACTCTCTTTCATACAGCTTATTTATCTCTTATTCTCTTTCTTTTCTTCGCTTTGTGGCCTGCGCTTTGGTGACCACTCTTTTTATCGTTGCGGAACAAAAGCACTTTTCTGTTTTTAAAAAGTAATAATAATAAGGATAACAGTGTTTGGGTGCAACATCTTGGCTATGATGTTGGCGTGATGGCGTGAGGATTACCTGAATTGCCTGTGGTGGCTTGCGCTAGTGCTGCTGCTGCCACTGTCTGGCGCCTTCTCCACTTTCTGTGTGTGGTGGTAGTGGTCTCACCACAGAGACAGCGCGCACTTACTGTCGTTCAGAGTCGGGGACTGGAGAGTCGACTGAAGAGAGAGCGAGAAAGAAGCAGCGACGAGCACACAGGCACATTGCAACTTTCGCTGCGGCATTCGCCTTTTCCCCTCGAAAGCGATCACTTCGCTCGTCTAATGCCGTCTTCTCCTCGTTTTCTCCTATTTACTGGTACTTGTTGTGCACTTCTGATGATGATGATTACCTGTCCAGGCAACCTGTACGGCCGATGTTTTTGTTCCCACTCTTCACATTAGCTCCTGGTAGTGAATTTTCAGCTGTGTCCTTTATGCCTACAACTACAGTGCATTGCGCGGTTGAGCTGAGAAAGCACCTTCTCGATTCTGTTCGATGTTCATCAAAGCAACCACCACCACCATCAGCAGCAGCAGCAACATCATCATCGGCGTCATCTCGCCCACTATTGCTTACGTTTTTAAGTAAATTTCGAGTGCCTATCAACATCAACAAGTGCCACAGAGTAAATTAATCGACTCGACACTAATATGGAAACGGTAGGTAGAAAAATGAATGAGCGAGAGTACCACTGCCGCTGCCGGTAACAATGTTGAAGATCATTAAAGGGCGAGCGTTGTGTTTTTCTTTTCCTCTGTGTATGTCTTATTATTTATTAGCGTCACTTAGCCATCAATCGGCCATTAGTAACCGTTTTGGCATGTAGTGCCAAGCAGCAGCGGAGTTTGCCTTTCTGGCTCCAGCGCAACACACACACAGTTTGTCAGCATCTGCAAAAGGCAAACACCACTAGCAGCTAACTAACTGGATATTCATTTGAATTCGATATTTGACGCACACTAGTCATAGTGAGGAGAACGGTGGTTCACTTGATGCTACTGTGCAACAGAAGTCATCCAAACGGAGGCAGGCAATGAAGCAAATATGGACAAAATGATGCAAACAGACTGCCAGAAGGCGCCATTCGATGACGGAGGAGCTGGCTGAACTCTGCTCTTCTCCCACAGACAGATCAGCCCGACGATTAGTCGTAGTGATGGAAGTTTGCTAGTTTGAAAGCAGGCATGTTGCTGTTTACTTTAAAGTTCGAACGATGTTTGCCAGGGGTCTTCTTCCTCTCTGGTCAGGCAAACACTGAGCGCCAACTTCGTTGCCTGGCCAACTTTCCAGATTTTCCGCACTCTGTTGTTACACTCACTGTGCGCAGCACATCAGGACAACATTTACACACTGGCTATCATCAAAATGAATCAGACATCATTTAAACGTAGAAGCACTTTCCATCTTGTATAAACTGTGTTCCGAACTGTAGGCCGACACAGATTGGTCGGCAATAGATCAATTTAGGTCTTTTCAACAGTAGCCCAGTGTTGGCTGGTGAGAAGAATCGACTGCAACCGACATTCATATGATCTCTATCCAACAGCACCTTCTGCTTCTATCCATATGTTGGCCTTTGTTCCCTCTCTCCAGTGCAGACTCTGCAACACTTGCACCAGTCAGTGATTTGTCCGTTGTCGCGACAGCACAGTCCTCGAGGACGGCGGAGCACTCGTTTGTCACTTGATATGTTCTTCTCCTTTTCTACTTCACCACTGCCAAAGAGTGAAGTGAAGTTGACCGTTTGTCACTGGTGCCATTTTCACTGGTGCCACTGGTTTCACTGCTGCGCTCTACTGATCACCGTTCACCGCCCCTCGTTTCTCTCTCCCTCTCTCGAAGGCCCTCGTCAGCCTCTCACGTCTACTTCAGCCACTCGGTCCGACGAACGGTCACACTTGACTTGCAATCGATAGCTACAACCACTGTTCAGCAGCAGCAGCAGCAGTCGGTGGCATTTTTCGCCATCCTTGCCATCTTTCTGCCATCACCATCTATCTAGCAGTACAGTTCTGCTGCTCTCACTTTTAACGATCTCCCACTGTCTGCTTACTACTTAATTACTCAACGGTCACAAGCCACCTTCCGCCACTGCCACTTCTCTTTGCTCCTTCACACACCAGTACAGTGCTTGCAGCTTTTGGGCTCCATTGTTGAGCGAGCAAGTGTTTGTTTCTGTAAGCACTTTTTTAGCCCAGTGTTCATCGCACCACCACCACCACCACCACCACTCAGGCCGCCATTTACCAAGTGCCAACAAGTTAAGGCACTTTCAGTTTCTTCAATCCTTTTACTGGGCAGCATAACTTCTGAAAACATCAACCATTATTATGATCAAGTCACAAAACCTGCTGCTGGCTAAAGCTTGACTGGACTGTAATCTTCTGGCAATTTATTGACTGCAGCTGCCATCGATCGTTTGCCTTCTTCCTCGACTGCTCTGTGCACCATTTTCCAATTGGCCACGCATTTTGGTCAGCTCTTGGTTAGTGGTTTTTCCTGTAGCATCAGAGCAAGTGTGCCTGTGTTTTTGTTTGACACCTGTTGCCAGTCAAATAGTAAGCATCTGAGTCTGTGCCTGAGGCCACACAACTCACCACCACTGCCGACCATGTGAATGTGCTGTAATCAGCTAATAAAGCAATCAACTGACGACAAGGAAAGCACTAAAACTTAAGACAGTGTCTATTGGCGGCCAACAACAGCAGCAACAACAGCAACAGCAGTTAACTTCAATAAACTGCCGTTCATAGTACCTCGTCGGCTAAATGCTCTAATCCTAAAAAGAGGAAAGCTTCTTTCTTTCTTTCGTTCATAGCTGTTTTTCTTTGCCATCACTTGTGCCACCGAGTCTGGTTTGTTTGGCTAAGCTTAAAGATATGAGAAGGACGGGCAGATCTGTGGCAGTCAGAGACTGAGCGCTCACTCAGTTAATCACATTGAACACGGTACGGTGCTTTGGCCAAGCATTGTAGGAAAAAAAGCAACCAAAGCTAAACTAAACTAAAACTTCACAACTGTCGCGACTTGTCTGCAGAAGCAACACGGCAGTTGCCACTTGCATGTTCTAAACACATTTACTGAAGCACTTGTCAGTGCGACAGTGCGGATTATGCTTCCCTAGTCTCTGCTCGATCCGCCCGATCGGTGCTGGAGAATGGTAAATAGTAAATGGAGCAAGTGCACGAGAACGAATCATTCTTCACTGCCACCATTGAGCACTGGTCGCTTCCTTTCAGCAGCAGCAGCAGATCGGTCAGCCACCCTGCCTCAGCGTCTGAACTCACTCTCTTTCTGTTTGTCTGCTTTGTCTGTTTTGTGTCTGCCTTTGTCACAGGCAGTGCCACCACCGCCTCACGGTCACCTGGTAGCAGCAGGAGTAGGAGCAGCAATTGTCTTGCGCTTCCTCTTGCTCGTTAGAAGCAGCAAACGACTCTCTCTTCTCTGAAGTAAAGACGTCGAGAGGTTACGAGTTTCCCGTGATACGCCATTATGTGCACGCACAAGTCCTCTGCTTTGCTCAGACTGCCATTGAAGTTGATCGAGACAATCTGTCTTTCCACTTGCACTCCCCGTGTGTCTGTTCTGTGCGAGTTCATGCCACTTGTTGTTGCTGCTGCTGTCTTTGCTTTCCCTTTATGTGCTGCTACACATGGTCCCACACGTAGCCAAGCAGTGTTTGTCCCTGAGTTGCACACACGGCAGCTGTTTGCTGTGTGTGACTGGCAACTCGGTTGACTTGCAGCAGCAGCAGTTGATGGTCTAATTGGTCCGCATTACAGAGGCAGTGTCGCAGCGAGTGACAGTGCCTGAGTGATGTCACTGCGCTCAGGTGCACTACTACGCAAGCTGCTGCAACACTTGCTTGCTGCTTTTTTGGAAGCCACCACTGGCAGCAGCAGCCGCACTCCACCGAAGCATAAATATAGCAGCAGCAGCTCCCAGTGTCATCTTGCAGTCGTTGTTGTTCGGGCCACTAATAGACTGCTAATTAGTCGCCACTATGCAGCTGTGTGCTTTTTTGCGATGCTCCCTGTGCTACTGCCGGTGCCAGTGCTGCTGATTCCAGCTGCACAGTGTGTATAGTAGATTAGGTTTACCTGACCAGTGAGCAAGTGTTTCTGGCGACCGAGTTGGTGTGCGAAGCCTTCATCTGCTTATCCTCTGCTCTGGTGGTCGGTTTGTAAGAGGCTGCCGCATAGTCCACTTATTGGCTTGCATGCTGGCAGGCCGTCTTGCTGCCTGCCTGCCTGACAGTGTCTTGTGCCTGTCCACTTGTCAATCAGCTAATATCGCCCGTATCACCGTCCATCTCTGCAAGTGCATGGGACGTCAGCTCAATTATATCTGGGCGCCGTGACGGCGTCTCGTGTGGATGTCTATTTCGAGAGACTCCTCACAATGCCACACAATGCCTTCCTCACTGGGCTAGGGGGAAGCGTACACAGCAGATGAGCAGATGCTGCTGGACACAAAAGCCAGCTACTTGGTGTCGATCGGGGGGCACTTGCTGGCCATTGTGCCCACCACTGCTGCTGCTGACCACAGTCGGAGCGAGCACATTGAAGCGAGGAGGCAGATGTTGACAGGTCATTGAGCTACTCGCAGACGCTTTGGCTAATTTTGGCCGCTGCTGCTGTTGATGCGCCGGTGCCGATTTTCAGACACTGGCCACTGTTGTGTGATCTTTCTTGTGACAAGCTTGTCCCCATAACAGAAAAAAAGTGCAATTGTCCAACTCACAAATTGGTCTCTTGCAGAATTGTCCTACCGGCAGCCAGCATTACATAAGCGTACTACCTGTCGACCTGTTTATTTAATTGGCGC